CCCTGCCCGCCGCGGTGCCCGCCGCCTGAAGGCTGCCCGGGGGCGCGGAGCCGGCGCCGGCGCGCGCGGGCGCAGGAGGCGACTCGAGGCGCGATGTCGGTGCCGCTGCTCAAGATCGGGGTTGTGCTGAGCACCATGGCCATGATCACCAACTGGATGTCCCAGACGCTGCCCTCGCTGGTGGGCCTCAACACCACCAAGCTCTCTGCGGCCAGCGGCGGGACGCTCGACCGCAGCACCGGCGTAAGTCCCCGCCGCCGCCCCGCGGGCCCTCCCGCCGCTCCCTCCGACCCCGACCCCAGGCTGGGCGGCGCCGAGCAGGGCGCAGGGCCAAGGGCACGGACAAGGGTCCCCTGCGGCTTCCCCGGTGGGCGGAGGTGACCCCGTCCCCATGCTGCCAGGCCGCCAGCGGCCGGCCCTGGTCCTCAGGGGCACCGCCTCCTTCCTTTGCTGGGTTTCCTCGTGGGGCAGGGGCCTCAGGGACGCTGACGCTTCAAGTCCCCTTCAACTAGTAGTAAGTCCCTCACTGACAAGGTCAGGAAACTGAGGCAGGGCACTTGGGGACTTGTCCAAGGTCATTCAGCAAGTAAGGGGTGGGGATGCCTCTGCCCCACCCTGTCGAGCTGGTCCAGCCAGGGCTCGAGCGGAGCCCGCCCTACTTTGTAGGAGCCAGTGGGACTGGCCGGCGGGAGTGGGCAGGCGGGTGGGGGAGCTGGCAGCTTGCACTCAATCAGGCTCCTTTCCGGGCTCTTCCCTACTCCAGGTCCCTCAGGGTCCTGGAGCCCCAAGGTGCAGTGGCCCGGGTGGGGCCCTGGGAGGCACTGGCTGTGGCGCTGGCCCCCTCTCCGTCCCATCAGCCCTCTGTCCTGCCTCCCAGGTGGCTTTTTCTTCCCTTGTCAAGGCCTTGGTGTGGGGCGGGGGGAGCAAGTGGCCAGGGCGCCTGTGGGCAGGGCTGGCTCAGATGGTGGCTGGAGCTGCGTGAGCCAGGCTAAGCGGGAAGCACCCCTGAGCGGAGGAGGATGTGAGGAAGGGCCCCAGGCTGGCTCCCTTGGAGGCGGAGGGGGTGGGGGGAAGGCGGCAGGAGCCTTCTCTCCCACCTGGTTTGGGCTGCCCAGGGCACAGTGCTCTGGAAGGATGTTTCCACGTGACCCCTCCTAAGACCCTCGTCACGTTCACCCCACCTCGTGTCTCAAGGATGACATCCAGGGCTGCTTTCATGATGACTGTGCTCCTGAGTCTGGGTCCTAAGCTGCTGGGGTTGGCGATGAATGAAGCAAGTGGACAGCTACTATAGATTCTCCACCCCAGCCCCACGCTAAAAATAGCAGGGAGGTGACCTGAAGCGACAGGGCAGGCTGCGGGGGAGGGTCTGTGCTCCGGGAGTGTTTCTGGACAGTGGCATCGCCCCATGCGTGTGCCTGGAGCTCCACACCTGAGCCGGGCTGCAAGGTGACACCAGCCAGGCACAGCTCTGGTCTCTCGGTGGTCCTTGGGCATACCCCAGGACTGAGGTTGGCTGTGAGCTGGCCCCTCATGTCACCAGAAACTTGGTGAGATCCGCACAATGACTCGTGGGCAGCAGCCCTCGTGGAGTCGGAAAGCCGGCATCTCCTCGGACAGCGTCTGCCAGGCTGCCCGCGGGATGGCAGCCGGGGCGCGGGTCGTTGCGGCTCTGGGTGAATGGGCTGCCGGATGCCGGCTGTTACCCCGGGCGCTTCATCTCCAGGCGTCAGGGACGGCGTCGCGAGGCTGCGCCAGCCACCCCGGCTTGCTTACAGGGAGGAGATCTTGTTTCTGAATTATGTGCTGCTGTGAGTCAACCAGCTCCTGCTTTCCTGCCTGACTCCTCAGTCAGGGCGTGTGGCCTCCCCCCTCCTGCTACCCAGCCTATCCATTCGGTCACATGCCGGGACCCCAAATATCCCCGGAACGGAAAAATCTGAATTGGAACAAAATTTCAATTCTTGCCTGTTCGGCTTCCTTGCAGCCCCCCGGGGACCTCGATGGGATTCTGCCCCTTTGTTCTCAGGGGCTCCTGCCCCTCTCCGGGGTCAGAATGTGTCTTTGGCCCGTTTTTTGTCCTTCTCTGCCAGGGGTCGGACTTGGACAGCCCTCCCTGGTTGTCGTTCCTGGTGAGCTGCCTTCTGGTCTCACTTGTCTCCCTCTCGCTCCCTCATCCCCCCCCCCCCCCCCCCCCTGTTGCCCACCAACCCCCAGGAGAGCTGGCAGGTGTACAGCTCCGCCCAGGACAGCGAGGGCAGGTGCATCTGCACAGTGGTCGCCCCCCAGCAGACCATGTGCTCACGGGATGCCCGCACGAAACAGCTCAGGCAGCTACTGGAGAAGGTGAGTCTGTGCAGGGCGCGTGTGTGTGCGCATGTGCCCATCTACGTGCGTGTGTGCGCCCACACCAGCACCCAGGGTGGGCTAGCCCGCACGGTCCGTCCCAGCTTCAAGACCGCCCTCTTTCTTGGCGTGTCCGGACTCAGAATGTCTGTGAATGAATGAATGGGTGGATGGAGACCCCCCCATGCCCCACGGAAGGTGCAGGAGGAGATGAGTCAATCCTGCTGGTCACTCCACGGAGGAGCCGCGTGGGCATGGGGAGAGGGGACGAGGGCGGCTCCCCCCGGCCATTGTTTCCAGCGAGGCGGAGACCTATAGTCCGGAGGGCTCAGGGCTGTGGCTGAGCAGCCACCAGGGAGAGCACCCCAGGAGCCCCTTGGGTCTCAGCCGATGGGCTCTTTTGCTGCCCACGGGAGGTGGGATCTGCTAGTTGCAGGTCTAGGGGTACAAGTGCACCCAGAGTCCGCCCCTCAGCAGCCGCGGGCAGCAGCGCTGTGTGGGTCCAGCACGCATTTTAAATTCGTCATTTCAAGACCCTTCACAAGAATCATGTCAACTCGGTGAGATTTTTCACCTGGTTTCATCGCCCATGTACGCACACGGACACCGCACACCCGTGCACATGCCTTGCACTCACCACCCACACACCCCACGTACACACCCCCACACCTACACACCGGATACACATGCACCCCACATACACATGCACCACACATACACACACACACCACTCATACACCCACTACACATCCCCCACATACATGCCCACACCCACACACACACACACACACACACACCCCGTAAGACACGACTTTGCCAGTTGAGGAGTAAGGGGTGGGGGGGGCCTGAGCCCCTCGGAAGCCATTCCCCACCCCTCCCCCAGCTGTGATCCTCGCTGGGGCAGGTCGTGGCCCTGGCAGCTGGAGGGAGGACAGCACAGCACACCGTGCTAGGTCAGAACTGCTCAGTTTGAGCCCAGCTCAGCCGCAGCCTCTCATACAACTGCTGGCAAAGCAGGTCCTTGTCGTAGCCTCAGTTTCCCAAAGTGGGGAGGGAAGGAGTGGGTGAGTGATTCCCAGGTGCTCCCAGCTCTGCGCTGTCCCCAGGATGGTGTTGTGGGGGGCGGGGAGAAGGGCAAGGCCTGGCCCCTGCACCTGCTGCGGGTGAGGGGCAGTCTTTGTTCTGCCGTCTCTAGCCCACCCAGTATGTCATTTAGAAAGAATTAAAGTAAAATGCATTTAGCAGATTCCGCAAACGTTCATTAACACTAAACTAGACCAAAGCCTAATTGGGCCTTTAATTATTCAGAATTGCAGAGGAAGGAGGTGGAGCTGGGAGGGGCCTTTGGGACCTGGAAGGGGGGCGGTGGGGAGGGCGGGAGGGGGCAGGCTGCCGCCCTGGAGCTCTTGGGGGAGGTGCCCTCTGGATTCCAGAAAGCTCTCGGAGCCCCGGGAGCGCAGGCCTGGGGCCCTTCTTCCTGCCTCCATACTCTACCAAGTCGGGGCTGGAAGATTTAAAGCCCTATTTTATACCCCAGTGGGCACTGTGTTTTCAGAGGGCAGCAGCCTTTTGTTGTAAAAGAGGGCCGCATGGCTTCCTGCGTTCAGATTGTGCTGGGGTTGGGGGCAGGGCTGCTCCTTCCTTGGAGTGGGGGGTTCTTCCCGTGCCTGAGGTGCGTGGCTCTGGTGGTGTGTTCCCTCAGATGCCCCAGTGCCGACCTGTGGCCGGGGCTGAGGGCCACAGGCAACCCGCCGAGTGGAAAAGGCGTGTTGGGGCCGCAGGTTATGTTCTCTTTGAAAAAGCCGTCAGCCCTGACTTTGGAAGTGTGGGCTTTGGAGGCAGGCCAGGCTTTGGATCGTTGCTGACCGCTGTGGGATGGTAGACAAGCTGCTTAACTTCTCTGGGCCTCGGTCTCCTTCTGTGTGGCCTGGACTCGAGACCACGCTCACCTGCCAGGGTGTTGTAAAGATCGGATCAAATCAGTGAGCGGATGGGCTCAGCCTGGGGGGGACCGTGTCTTTTGGGAACTGTGTGACCTTGAGCTCATCAGTTGGCTTCGAGGGACACAGCCTGCTGGAAAGAGAATGGATGGCCCCGGGGCTGGGGCGTAGACCGGGTCTTCTTGAGGGAGAACACCTACCTGGGAGTAGTTGTGCCTCTTGGCCCAGTCGTCTGCTTTATGACCGGCCCGAGAGGGGGGTCCTCGCTGCAGGTAGGACGGACAGTAGGAGAGTCTGCGTTTTGTTTTAGGGTAGCGGAGTCATCTGGCATCTTTAAAATTGGTTTTCTCAATCTTAAATTTAATCTTACTCAAAATCCATGAAAAGCATCCCTCGTCTGGCAGGGGAGAAGCCCGTTGCTCTGCGTGTGGCCCCTGTCGGAGGGCAGAATCTGGAGCTGGTGCCGACCCAGCAGCTTCAGCTCAGCCCACGGAAGCCCCCGCTCTTGTAGGTTTTGCCAACACAGCAGGAACGCTGCGTCTCAGGAGGGGAGGGGGCTCTCGGCTGGGGAGGCCATTGTGTTCCTCCTCCCAACATTGTGGCTGCAGGAGGACCTCGGTGCATTAGGCGCAGGGACGGGGTGGGGGTGTGGGGGGGGTTGCTGCGATTGTGGGCAGCCCCGGGCCCCTCCCACCCCGCGTTTCCCATCCAGCCAGCTGGTTGAGACAGATGTGTGTGTGGTTACTGCCGGGCAGGCATTGCGCCAACGAAGTGATGCCGTTTCCAAGTAGTAGGCAGCCACTTCTGGCTCTGGCGCATCCTGGAAACCTCCCTGGAGGAGGTGGTATTGGGGCTGGGCTTTAAAATATGAAGGAAACCAAAACTCACAGCTCTTCTCCAAGGAAGTCCTGTGGTTATTGGGTGTGACAGAATTGGACAGGTGAGGGGGCAGGGAGAGGGTAAGAGAGCAAATGTTTCCAGTTCTCCATAGAAAGGACCAGAGGGGATCCGAGTCACCCACATACGGTACTTTACAAACCGAATTTTTAAACTGGATTTGTGTGTTACTTTTAAATAACTAGTCATAAAATCCTAGGCATTTAAAAATGCTGCAGTGAGTAATATCGGTTTTTCTTCTACTGAGAAGCATTTCGCTTGTGCTCTTACTTTATTTACGGGGGTGGAGGCTATACCGGAAGTGGTGGAAACCGCACTGTCATCTTTTCACTGACCGAGTCAAGCTATGGGTCATACCCAAATGATTCCGTGCCTAAAAAGGGAGAGGATTTTCAAAGGCAGCAGGAAATCAGAAATGGAGATCTGCGGTGGTTGTGAAGTGTCCTCCTCCCTGGTGATTGGATTCGATTCCGAGAGTGACCCGAACGCCACCGCACAACCCTGAACTCCATCTGCTCCCCCCACTGCCCCAAATGCATGTGCACAGAAGCACCAACCAGTTTCCCCAAAAATAAAACGCCCTGGCAGGTGGTTGCACTGAAACTGTTTTTCTTTTAAGCTCTCTGGAATCCTGTTGAATATTAAAGTTCCATCTTGAGGATAGACTCAGTTCAGGTCTGTCTGCAAAGACGTGAAATAGCGATTCTTCACTGGCCGAGTGATTGATTCCTGACTCTATGCATGGAACGCAGATGTTTGCAGAGCAGTCATCTGCCTATGATACCGGGAGGGGTGATGGATGGTGTGTGAGATGGGGACAAGTGTTGACACAGAGTCAGAAAAAGCAGTTCCCTTGTAGCTTGGCTCCCTTGTGCGCCCCACCTTTGCATCAGGATCCCCATGAGATGTAGGGGGACGGAGAGTCTCCAGCTGGGGTGGGGGAAGCCCAACAGCACCGTTCAGACTGGCTGGTATTTAAGCCTGCCTATCCGGTTTCATCCTGCAGAATAAGGAGACTGAGACACAGTCCCCTCCCCACTGAAAAAAGAAAGGAAAAAAAAAAAAAGTCACCCAAAGCCTCGTATGCCTGGAGCTGGGAGCTGAGGGAGGACCTGAGGCTCCTGAACCCCTGATTTGCATCCCTGGCTGGAAGAGAAAGCATTCTGGAACATGGCAGAGGAAACGTTTCCCAAACCAATTTGCTCTGTTTGGGGAGTTCTTGGTCATAACACTCCCCGATGCTGGTGATTAACTAGTAAATAATGCATGGACCGCCTCTGGCTCCCAGTGTGTCGGCTGCGTGGGAAAGGTCACTGTCGTGTATTTGGAGGCAAATAAGACAGGCAGGCACCCGCTGCAGCTCCTTTCTTGAACCTGTTGCCTTTTTGACAGGTGCAAAACATGTCTCAATCCATAGAGGTCCTGGACAGGCGGACCCAGAGGGACTTGCAGTATGTGGAGAAGATGGAGAACCAAATGAAGGGACTGGAGTCCAAGTTCAAGCAGGTGGAGGAGAGCCATAAGCAACACCTGGCCAGGCAGTTCAAGGTACGTGCGCTGCTCCTCCTCTGAGTCGAAGCTGGGCTTGGTTTCCCTTCGTGCTTTCCCCTTCCCCTCCAGAAAGAGGAACTTGGGGCCGGGGAGGAGCCCAGCAGAAATGGGCCTTTGCCTTGCAAATGGCCGGCGCTGTCCTTGGAAATGGAGAGGCAACCGGCCCTCGCTCTCTTTTGGCGAAAGACACAGTCAAATGGGAAGATAGTGCCGCAGTTTTCAGCCCCCATGAGCTTCCCAGGCCGGAGTCCCAGGACCTGGCTTCTCAAGCCAGGTCATAGATTAGCTGGGAAGGGACAGGATTGGTCCTCGTCATTCGGCAGCTGCTGTAGGTAAATCACATTAGCCAAGGATTAGCTTAATTGATTAGAGCCATTTCTGAGCAGGGATCACTCGGGGCAATTTTTCACATCTGACCTAATTTAGCTATGACAAGGCACACTGTAGATTTGTAGGGAGGAAAGAGAGAGACACCAACATCTTTCTCACTTCCTGGTAAGTGTTTTTTCTTTTTTTTTTTTTTTCTCTCCAGGTCTCTCTGGACATTAAAGCCAGAGTTTGGCCTAAAATTATATATACATATATAGAAATATGTATATATATATACATATATATACCTTAAGTTTACTCAGCTTCAAAATGATTAAATTGAAAAATTATATGCACCTTAATTAAGGCACACGTGCATGTTAATTACTAATCTAGCCCAGATATAAATGAACAGGTCAAATTACACAGCCCTGCTTGACTAGAAATTGCTGACGCTCTGTCTTCCAGTCCTTTTTATGCTAATGTTTTCCTTTGATGTGCTCCCTGCATGAAGCAAGAAGTAATCCACTTTTAAAACTGATACATTATACAGAGGAAACGGCAGGCTAACGAAGTAATAAATCTATATTATAAATAAAATAATAGCAGGCCTGATCCTATCGAGGAGCAATGAGCCAGTGGCTCATGGTGGAGGCAGGTGACTATGTTGTCCTTGCTTCTGATGTCATCATCGTGGTGAATTATCTCAGAGAGAGAGATTTTTGACCTGCCTGACCAAAAAGAGTTTGTGTCTCTCCCTGAAAACCCAGCATTCCCTGTGTCATGCTAGAGTCTGAGTCCTTTGAAGACAGGGGTGTCTTTAGCGGCCATGAGCTAGCTCATCTTTGCAAGCACTGTCCACACGGGCATCTCTCCCAGTTCCAAAATTTGGGGCAACATGGCCCCAGGGGAGAAAAAGCAATCCCTTGCCTTTGACCATGCTTTAATTGCATTAAGAATTACACCAGGAATTGTGAGAGAATCTCTATAACTATTAAAGCAGTTGGTTTGGACTAAATCTAGCAATGGAGTGTGTTTTGTTTTTTTTTTTTTAAGTTACCGTGAAAATATTTGTCTATTAATGGCTGTCTGTTTAAGGCAGGCTAGTGAGGCAGCTCTTCAACGGTATTTCGTTTTCTTGCTTGCAGGGCTAACTTAAAAGCGTTTTTTCAGTGCTGCAGTGACTGAAGATGCAGTCCACTCCCATGTAACCATGAAAGAGGGTCAGAGAGCTTTTGCACCATGCATTTTTACTATTATTTCCCAATACTTAGCACCATGACACTAAGGAACCTTGAACACAACCAGGACCCTCTTTTGCATGCGACTGTAGCTGCATTCCACGGACAGTTTGAACCCTTGTCAATGCATTTTTTGAAAAAGAAAAAAAAAAAAAAGAAACTTTGTGTGTGTGACTAAAAGCATGTAACCTTAAGATGTTGCGTTCTAAACTGACAATAAAGACCTTTCCCAAATATGTTGGTGTTCTGAAGACTGTTTAATATGCTCTTCTAACTCTTTTGGGCCAGAATACATAAACCTATAAATGAAACAGGAGTGTGCACAGACTCCCTCGCCCGGGGAGAAGCCAGGCCAAGGCAGGGTGTTGCAAGTTTTTGCACGCAGAGCACTGAACCCAGCTTATTTTAACCTTGCAGGCGATAAAAGCGAAAATGGATGAACTTAGGCCTTTGATACCTGTGTTGGAAGAGTACAAGGCCGATGCCAAATTGGTATTGCAATTTAAGGAGGAGGTCCAGAATCTGACGTCAGTGCTTAACGAACTGCAAGAGGAAATTGGCGCCTATGACTACGATGAACTTCAGAGCAGAGTGTCCAATCTTGAAGAAAGGCTCCGTGCATGCATGCAAAAACTAGGTAGGACCAGAACCCTGCGGGGGCGTGGCGCTGCCCCGCCCACCTCCGCTCACGCACAGGCTTAGGGAGTGGTGCTGAAGCGGACAGCGCCCGCCTGGCCTCCGGGAGGCCGCTGCCGGGGGCGTGGCGCTGCCCCGCCCACCTCCCCGCACAGGCTTAGGGAGTGGTGCTGAAGCGGACAGCGCCCGCCTGGCTTCAGGGAGGCCTGGCCTGGCCGGATTAGGGCTCCTGGGTAGGGCTCGCGCTTAGGAGCACAGGTAGGCGGCACTCACCCTAGGGCACTGTCCAGTCATATGCCAAGGCTGGCTCACAGACCCCATGAAGTCACACATCCGGAAAAGGGACTAGATGCCACATGCCATCTGAAGAATGTATGTGTGTGCGTGCACATGTGAGTGGGTGTGTGTGTCTGTGTGTGATGGGTGAGGTTAGGACATGAGTTTAATAGGGCTGGAAACATACATCTCATACTCTCTCCAGGCTGGGGACAAGGGCTGACAGAACTCCTGAGAGAGCGAGTCATGCGTAGTTTGAATAAAAGAAAAAAGAAAATTCAGTCACACCAGCTTAGAGGACTTGCCATTCACAGTGAGAAAAGGCGTCAGTCCCTCCTAACGGCCTGGATGGAGGGAGCCCCTGGGCTCACTTGATCCTCAACCCTGTTGTTGCTTCCTTGGGGGGGCACCAGATCTGGGGGTTCCCCCACCATGGGGCGACCCCTCAGGATTCTGGCTTCTGCTTGAATTCCCACTCACCTTACAACTTCCCTGTTGGTTGCTGTCATAGATCGTGACTTACTGGCATCTGAGCCCACTCTTCTGGCCTGTTTCCCAATTTTCAATTCATTCTTGGGCTTTTGTGTGCAGATCAGCTGGCCCTTCTCTCCTGCTATGTGTTTGACACCAAGGCTGTTCATGTTCATACTGTATACTTAGTGTACCATAGGGTAATTTTTAGGGTAATTCTGGTTTATGAAGAACTTTCCCTCGGGTTTTATCTGATATTCTAACTTGACTCCCTCCCCACACCCACCCACCCATACCCCAAATACCTTCTTATAAACTTATAACATCCCAAAGTAGCAAATACTTTTAAAAATCCCTGATGCCTTGAAGCAAAAGGGAGAGAACATCCAAAAGGCAAGGAAGTAGTCGGCCAGCCCCCCTGCTGGAGCAGGTCCGCACGCCCAGATTATTTCAGACGCTATTCTAGGCCTCCCAGCAAAGGCAAACACTCAAAAGTTCCCCAGCCCAGGGAGGATGGCGAGAGGCATTGGGAGTTTAATCTGGCTTAATATGGGCACTTTGCTGTGTCCCATGAGGGATTGTCTTCTGCGTTTTTCCAGTGATGCCCTTCTTGGTGCCCCAGTCCTGGTGTGTCAGGGGCAGGGGGACCTGGGACAGCCCTAGGAGGGTCAGGGCGGGGCAGTCTCCACAGCATTTCCTGTTCGGACACTGTAGGGGTCGGTGTGGATGTTTCGAGTCTTCACGATGATGGAACTGTACTTATGACTGTGGGTTTTATAATGACTTCCGTTGGGCACAGATTGGGGTTTCTACCCAGCATTAGCCTACGCTGACTGCCTCTCTCTCTCCAGATCCTCCAAATGCCCCCACCCAGGGGTCTCAGCCTCTGAAGAATCCAGGGGCCGGTGCAGGGGTGGTGGTTATTGTTTATTTTATGCCCTCCCTGGGTTACAGACTGCATATATCAGTGAGAAACTGAGATGGGACCTCCATGCTTTCCCTGTAGGGGGGTCAAGGAGCAAAATGGAAACTCAGAGTGGAAAGTTACAAACACCGAGAAGCCACAGGCCTCTCCCGGGGGGGGGGACGTCACCCCTCTTGGGAAGAGCAGCCTTTCCATCAGCACCTGGTCTATTTTTAGAAGCTGTGTGAATTTTCCTTCCAGCTTAGGATCTTGGGGCTTCCACACGGTTACCCTTGGGCCACCAAGATGGTTGATCTGGGAGTAAAGAGAGAGGATGACTCCCAGGGGCCCCGTTCTCTCCCATCAGAATGCAACCATGTTGTCTTGCCTCTGTGTTTCTTTCTTCAGAAACACCTTGACTCGGAGGTAGACCCACTGAATCAGAGTCTGCGGCGGGTGGGGAGGGGCGGGGCAGGGATCTGCATTTAACCAACAGCCAGGAGATTCCCATGAACACCAAAGGGTGAGAGCCCTCGGTCTGTAAGTTAGGTATCACCTGCGGCTGTGTGACTGTCCCCAGGCACTGACTGTCTCAAGGGCAGCCACTTGCTTATCTGTACAGTGAAGGTGTAGGAGTCCCCATGCTCTGGGATGACCGTGTGAGTCCAGGGACACCTCATAGCCCAGCAGAGTGGGCAGGGGGTAGGGCAGGTGAGTTGTAGTGCTAGGTAGGCAGCTAGGTGGGCAGACAAACGGATATGTTGGCAGGTGGAGGAACAGAGAGGTAGGTGGGTGGGTGTGGGGGCAGATCAACAGGCAGGTGGTAGTTTGAACAGTGGCTCTGCCCTCTCCCTAGGTTCCCATTTAAGCCCAGTAATTTAAGGACCACGTTCCTATCCTGTGGCTGCTTGAGATGGTCTTTATTTCAGCCTCACCAATGAGTACGGTCTCAGCAGCCTCTTTCCTGCTTGGAGGTTCTGGGGACCACAGAGCCAAGGAGGCACCTCCTGCACTGTGGGGCCCCCGTTCCTGACAGCTGCCGGGGAGCTTGGGGCTCCCGTTGGGTGTAGCCTTTCAGTAGCTCCCGCCCCGCCCCCTGGGCACCTTGGCTCCTTGGTCCGAAGTCTCCCTGTCAGTTCCCATTATTTCTTCCCCGGTGTAGACACTCCAGCCCCCTCTGCCAATGTGCTCTCAGTTGGGTGGCTTCTTGCAGCCACCCTCTCTTTTAAGTCGATGTGGCTGGTAATTCCTGACCCTAGAACATACACAGAGCAAAAACAAGGCTCCGTTTGTTTTCTCTTTCTATTTGTAAAGATTGCTGTCTCGATGGGACTGTATGTTTTTCCCAGAGGCCCAGCCAGAAAGGACTCTGAAACTCCGTTTCTAAAACCAGAGGTGGGGCTCAGCCTCTCTGGGCATCTCTGCAAGAGAGGCGGCTTCTGATCATTCCCCTGAGGTCCCCTTGTTCCCAGACAGGGGAGCGCCAGAGCCGCCCAGCCACCTGGTCCCCTAGGCTGGGGCGGGAGACTTCACGGCCCCCCTCCACTGGGGGAGCCTACACAGATGACTCAGAAGCTAAACCAGCAGGCCCAGAGACTCAGGATCCAGTGCAAAATGCTGTTCATACATCAACGTCCCGAGCATCTCGTGGGTCTGGCCTCAATTTTCCACTCTGTAAAATGGGGGCAAGGGGAATAGCTGAGTTTTAGGGCTTCCCCCGGTGGGAAGGAAGTGCCCAGACACCCGGGGCCCTGGCATCAGAATCTCTGGGCCTCTGATTGTTCCACCAAGAACACGTGAATGAAGCCCGTGGGCTTCAGTGTCAGCAGCCCCCCAGCCCGGGGTCCATGTTGATGACAGTCAGGGCGTAGATATCTTTGCCAGTTTGGGATGTCAGGGCTTGGTGCTCCACATCCCAGGCTCTCTCTCCTAGGGGAGGCAAGTCTGAAGCCTCCTTTCCATTCTCTTGCCCTTGAGATGGGACAGGCTCAGGAAGGCAGGGGGATTGGTCAGTGGAGGGTGGAGAGATAAGCCTGGGAGACCTCAGCCTGCAGGAGACCCCACAGCAAAGAAACCAACCCACAGCTGAGCTGCTGCTCACATGTTGACCCGAGTGGGACTCTGGCGGGGCAGGCTTCCCCTTTGGAGCCTCCCAGGAAGTGCTGGGGATTGTGCCTGGGGAGAGGTCTCCCGGCACCTGCCCTGCCCTGCCCGTGTGCGGGGCCGGGGGGAGACGGGGGACCCTCCCTTGGTGCCGCTCCCAGGCTCGGGGTCTGCTTTGTCCTCGGGTTCTCCCCCTACAAGGACATGTGCCTTCCCCAGCTCCCAGCCTCGCAAAAAGTTCCCAGTCCAGGAGGGATGAAAGCTGGGGCTGAGGGAGACCGAAAGCTGGGGGCCCAGCCTGCCTGCTGCGGGGCTCTCGGGCCCTCGCTCTGGCCTCTGGCCTGGATCTTGGTGGGCATGTCACCCCGGGCCTGCTCAAGGCTCCCCGTGGAGACTGTCCCAGCTGCTGTTCGGAAGTGGACCTCTAGCAATAGCACGAGGCAAATGATTTCATGCAGGGCAGTGTTTCGTCTAGGCCCCTGGCTTTGCACGGTGCCCTCCCTCCTGACACCCGTCCTGCGCTCTGCCCCTGAGCTCTGGAGGGCGAGGGTGGCCAGGCCCTCCCAGCAGGGTGCTCCGGCCCCAGAGCTCCACCTCCTCTGAACTGCACCTGCGCAGGGACCTCCTTCCCTCCTTACGCACATCCTGAGCCCGCGTGACAGAGAGGGACACTTTCCTGAACTGAATGTGCCAAGACTCCTCCATGAGGCTCTGCCGTGGGGCTTTTTTAGATCCTGTCAGCTCCCGAGGTCTTGGCAGAACCAGTCTGGACAGAGAACCAAAAATAACTCCCTGAGTCAAGCGGGGGGCGGGGGAGCAGCCTCCAGCCCGGGAGGCCCTGGAGACCTGAGGCTGCAGCCAGTATGTGGAAGAGCAGGGCTCCCCGGCCAGCCGGACCCTGCTCTGCACGCTCTGATCCATGATCTCCAGGCTCCCTCCAAGGGGCTGGGAGGCTGCAGGCAGCCCGCAGCCGGGGAGCACCCGGGGTGAAGGGAGAGCAGACCTCAGCCCGGGGATGGCCGGTGCTGGTGCTACAGCAGAGCGTTTGCCTCCGGATCAGACCCGGCCTGCAACCTCTTTCCTGCAGTGGCGGGCTCCCTACTCTGCCCCAGCCCTGAAGGCCCACAGTGGGCAGGACACACTTGGGTGGTCCCAGGCAGCCCCGACCCCAACTTTTCTCCCCATCCTTAATCCGAATTCACAGTCCTGAGAACGGCAGCTGCCTCCACTGAGCCCGACATGCACGTCAGGCGCCCTTCTAGAAGGTCCCAACTGCTTCAGCCCCTACAGCTGCCCTTTGGGCTTCTGCTCAGAGGAGGGCGACCCTGCTTTACCTCTCGTCCCCTCTGCTGGGGCATGTGGCGAAGGACATCGTGAGGGTTTTCTGAGAGATGATCATTTTACCTCTGAGGAACTGAGAGATGATTCCCTCAGTAGTTCACGGACAATTTCTTGGGCAGAGCCTTGGGGAAACAGCAAGAGAGGGCAACAAGCTTGCAGCCCAGGGCAGCCAGACCTGGACACTCGGGTCTGAGGCCCCAGGACATATGGGGTCACTGGCAGGAGTTGGTGAGGACAAGGTGGGCAGGGTTCCCAAGGCAGAGGTGTCAGGACGAGGCATGGGTTTGGGCCAGGCCATAGAGGACAGGGGGGAGGGCGGGCAGAGGACGCGGCAGGCGGAGGGACAGCCAGAGCAAGGGCGTGGCGGCGAGGGGGGCATCTGTGCTGCTGAGGTAGGGCGCCGGCCCGCCGTGCTCGCGCGCTGGGTGTGATGTGGAGGACGGACATCTGGTCTCCTTTGGGGAGGTCAGCCAGAATGGGGGGCTTGGCCAGAGCCTCGGTGTGAGTCAGTATAACGCTGCGATGTCCGATCCCATGGTGTGCTATTGGATGGAAAACCCATGGGCCCACCGGACTCCCCGAGCCATGACACCCTTGAGGGCAATGGCTCCTCCTTCCAGGCTGCTGGCAGGACTGCTGTCCCCTGGCAAGCAGTGGGGAGGCTGTTGGTGGCTGGACGTGGGCCTTGTCAACATCTCCCGATCCCCACCCAGGTCAGAGAAGCTGCTGTCTCCTTGGGGACAGCCAGCCCCCAGAGCCCCCAGGTCATAGGAACCAAGAGAGTACAGGGGGACACCAGCCTTGGGCACCCCCTTTTTCTCCCAGTCCCTGTAGACACTGGTGAACCTTGGACCTTCCTCCAGTCCCTCTTGTCCTCCCACAGATGGGGACATGTGCACGGGGCCCAGCGAACTTGCTGCGATTCTCAGCAGGGACCAGGCCCACCTGCTGACCGGCCACCAGCCCCCGAGCGATGCCTCCTGCCAGGAAGCCGTGGGCTGTGAGGGACAGTGTTTACGTGGGAGGGCCCACGGTTGCTCCTAAAAGCGGAACAGACAGGAAATTCGGAGAGGGGAAGGGATAGGCTGGTAAAAATAGGTGTGGACCCAAGGCAGCGGCCTGCGGTGAGGAGGGCGGTGCCGCTGACAGGGATCTGGGTGCGGACCCCGCCCCCCCAAAGGCCTGCAGGCGGCTCGGCCCTCCTCACGGCCTCTGCGCTCCCACCAGCACAGAGAGATGGGACGCCCGGCGCTGGGCTGGGGTGTCAGGGGTCTGTCTCTGCAGTCCTGCGTGATGGCGTTAGCGCAGATGCACACCCCTGCTCTAAGTTCTTAGGTAGAGACCAGCTTCTGCGGCCTGGCCTGTCCCCCGCTCTCCCCCCGCTCTGCGGGATTATCCCGGCTAAACTGTGTCCCTGACTTAAGTCACTGTCAGTCTTCTGAAAGCACCGGATCCTCTTGGAGACTTGCTGACTGGGCCGTGTCTACCTGCCAATCGGCTCCTGGGGCTCGGGAACTCCAGGCTGGCGGGGATTCATTTATTCTGGAAGACCTAAGTGGTTGTGGAGTCTTTGCTGGGGTGGCAGGTGCAGCCTGGCAGGCCCTCAGGGCTGTGGGAAGGGCCCTGGGCTGCAGAGAGAGCTGGGTCCCAGCCTCTACTGTCCCCAAGTGCTGGTGTGGCTCTAAGTACCCCCCACCACCACCCCGGCCTCCATTCCTGAGACGGGCAGCACCAAGGCCACCTCTGAGGCCCGGTCCGTCCAGCTGCCCTGCTCGGTCAGCGCCTCCAGAGTCCCCGCTCTCCAGCCTCAGGGCTCTCCCCTGGCAGAAGGGACCTTTTCCCCCTGCGGGAGATGTTCACAGGCTCTCTAGGGAAGGAGGGGGGCCTTTCTCCTAGTCCAGTTCTAGCTGGCCCTGGGACATGGAGCTGTGGGTTCTTCCCAAAGAGGTGTCTTGGGATCCTGCGGGGAGCCTAACACACGGAGCTTGGGATGTTCTCTTTCCCGGAGGCTTAAGGGCTCGAGCTACTGCCGTGCCCACTGCCTGGAAGAAAAAAACCATGTCGTGGCGAGGCTGGTCACCCCCATGTCCTGCTCTGGCCCCTCCAGCCCCAAGCCCCTGGGGTCCAAGGGAGGGAGGCGGTGGGGGGGCTGCTGCTCCTCCCTCTCCCTGTCCACCCTGGCCTCAGCGGCTCTGTTTGGGGCGGGGGAGCTTCTCTGGACTTCGGGGCTAGGGGTGTCACCGGGGAAAAGAGAGGCAAGAGCAGCGGACACCCTGACCGAGGCGGGCAGAGGGACCCGCATCCTCCACAGTGGGTGGTCGGGCTCGGGCCAAGGGAGTCACTCCTCTGCGCTGTGTACTGTCTTCCAGCCTGCGGCAAGCTGACAGGCATCAGTGACCCTGTGACCGTCAAGACCTCGGGCTCAAGGTTCGGGTCCTGGATGACGGATCCTCTGGCCCCAGAAGGTGATAACAGGGTAAGTGCTTCCTCTGCCGGGCCTGGGTCCGAGGGTGCTGTGGTCATCCTGGGGGACAAGTGAGCCTGGTCTCCATACCCTGAACGTTTGGCCCTCACGCTAATGCCCGTGTGCCCACCTGTGCCAAGAACCGCCCCAGCGGCTGTGGCGGGAGCCCAGCTGGGCGCCCCCGCGGGTTTGTTCCCCACCCCACCCCCGGCCGCTTTGGGGAGGGGCTTAGGTCCTGGCTGAGCTCCCTGTGCTAACCCCGAGTCACAGACCACAGGGACGGGGTCGGGGCCCAATATGGGAACAATGGTGACAATTGTTAGAGTGGGGCACCCCTGCCAAGCCCTCCCCGGCTCCGCTCTAGGGGAGGGGAGCTCCCAGCCACCCCAGCCCCACCCCTGCTCCAGGAGGACCGTCCCGTCGGGCAGGCCTTCCTTACGTCAGTGGTATCTCATTTGTATCAAGGCCGATGGAAACGCAGTTTCCTTTTTGATTTAGGGAAGAGGCTGGGTTCGTTTCCCCCCTGGATAAAAAGTCAGAAAAGGAGAGAAAGGCAGGGCCCGGGTTGAGCCTTGTGAGCCCCTTTGGAGGTGTGGGGTGAAGGCTGGCCGGCTGAGCACGGGGCCACCTGGACGTGGCCATTTGGTGGCCCTCAGAGCCTCTGCCAGAGGAAGACTCGCCTAGGGCTGTCAGGGGAGGAGGGACAGGTCTGGGCATGTAACCTCTTGCTGGCTACACCTCAGGGCACAGAACAAGCCAGAAGTCTGGGCGTCTCCCACCCACCCCCTGGCTTTCGGGGACTGGCAGGACGTTTAGAAACTGATCACTTTTTAAAAAAAATCTCTGCTCTTCCTTCAGGCGGGATTGAGAGGGGCTGCTGGGTCTTGTCTGGGGGACCCTTACTGGGAAGGGAAGGGTCGCTTCCTCTCCCCGAGATTTCTGGTCCCGCAGCTCCCCTCCCCCACTGCCACAGCTGCGGGTGGCAAGCGTCTTGTATTTTGGAAGTGAGGTGGCCCCGCACTTTCTGCTGGGGAAGGTTATGGGGGACAGTGACCGCTGGCCCATGGTGGCTGCCATCTGTCTATCCACCCTCCCATCCCCGCCCCCAGGGCAGCTCACACCAGCCTCGGCTGCCGGGGACTCTGGAGGGGCCGGTCGGGGACCGCAGACCGGGATGCGAGTGCGGACAGGTGTTTGGGTGGTTTCTGTTCTCTTTCCTGAGTCTGGACGGTTAGCTGCTGCTTGCACGTTCTCTGACGGTCTAAGGGGCTAATCGTAATTCCGATGGGTCTTCTGGCCCACATCCCCCGCGGCGAGCCCCAGCTCTGCTCCAGGCTCGGCTCCGCACTGGCACAGCGGAGCCCTTCTGTGCGCAGTGATCCGTTAGTCCGCGTTCCTGGCCCTCGGTGCTCCGCTCTGCCTGCCAGTCCTGGCTGGGCGTCCAGTGACCCTCCAGCGACCTGCCGGTGTGGAGGTCACCGTTACCCGTGCTTTTTGGTGAGAAAACCCCAGTCTAGTCTTGTGCCCACGGTCTTGGGAAAGGGCGGTCAGCGGTTTCACTAACAAGCGTCTACAGCAGTTGCCCCAAGACTGCCCCGTCCCTCCCCACCTACCTGCCGTCTGCCTGCCCACCGCACACGCCCCACACACCTGGGTCTGGGGGTTTGTGCCCACGCGTGCCTCCGGCCCCACTGTGACACCCTTTCCTTTGTTGTAAGTAGTGCTGCTCGGAAGACCCTTTCTCAGGTCCCAAGTATTGGGGCTCCGGGAAGCCTGGCTCTTTGCCCCAAACAGGGAGGCTGTCTGTTCGCAAAGCTTTTAAGGGGTGGGGGACGCTCTTGATAACTGGACACCTGTTTTCTGCTTGGTGACCAGATTGCCGTCCAGAAAGTGAGGCCCCGGGGATGGACGGAGCATGCGGAGAGGGGGCAGCGGGAGGAGGCTTCTGTGGGTAGCTGCTGGCAAGGGGAAGGGGGGAGCGGAGCCCGCGGGCGGGGACGCTGGGCAGCTCTGCCCCACACCTGTGTGGTTGGGGCCATTCCAAGCTGTGCTCTCAGCACAGCCACCCCCAACTCCCAGCGCACTGAGTGACGCCTCCCCAGGCCTTGCCACTGATCTGGAGGACAGATGTTTTGTTTTGATCTTTCTTGTTCTCCCCTCCCAGTTTGGTCACACATGCAGGAAACCAGTAACTTGTTCCAAAGGGAAACAATCTGTGTCAGCTTCGGGGCAGGCTGCCACGGCGGTGTGCTCAGAGACACGTGGCCAGAGGTTGGGGGTGGGGGAGGGATGCAGGGAACGCTGCACAGGGGGTCCCTGGTGGGGGGCCCGTGGCGGGGGCTCCAGAGGAGTGGGCATGGCTCGCAGCGTCCAGACACCTTCGCACTGAGCTGCTAGAGCAGGGTTAGCTCAGGACGCCTTGTGCCTTCCCTTCTGTGACTCCTTTATTGGGCTCCAGCTGTGTGCCAGGCTCTACGCTGGGCTCTGCGGTGTTCTTCTATGCCCAAAGCTGCCTTCCCTCGGTGGTGACTGGCCCGCGTGCTTCTGACGCTCTCACCCCTGATGCCAGACTGTGCCCCCTGCCCCCCAGGAGACCCTCTCCCTGACTCTGTCTGGAGTCCATGACGCCTTCTCTCCTGTTGGCTGGCTTTGGCTGCAGACGTCCCAGGCCAGTGGGCATCAGCTCCTTTGTGTCTACGTCTCTCCTCCCCTCAAGACACCACCACTGGATTTAAGGGCCTACCCTAATCCATCTTGGGATCCTTAATGACATCTACAAAACTCTCTTCCAAATAGGGTCACCTTTACAGGGTCCCAGATGTGGGCACGTCTTTAGGGGACCACCCCCTACAAAATTGAGGCCTCCCTGCCTGGGGGTAGAGGGGGTGTAAGAAACATCCTCTAGGAGATGAACTTGATCCATGGAGTGGGGGCACCGCAGTGGGAACAGCAGGTGTGGAGCACAGGGACTCAAGACCAGAGGTGCCTGAGAGCCAGGGACTTGGTCTGCCAGGTGCAGAGGCCTCCGGACGCTGCTGGGAAGAGCCTGGGACTGGGGAGTCAAGTTTACAGAGCAGTGATGGTCTGGATCACAGTTCTGGAAGGTTCTATCAGGTGGCACCAGCCCTGGAGGCTGATAGGGAGCTGAAGGCATAACCAAGGGTAAGGGGGCACAGGCCACAGCAAGACGTGCAGCTCCTAGCCAGAGGGCCCAGCCTTGCCTACACATTGGCGTCACCTGCTTTAACCAGCACTCGGGCCTGGCTCTGTCCCTGGAGTCCCATGCGACTGTTCTGGGCTCAGGGGGCAGCTGGGGGCTCGGGGCAGCCAGGTTCCAGGTTCTAGAAGTTCAGATATGGGGGTTCCGGGTGAAGCCAGAGAATCGGGGGAGGCTTCCTGGGGGCAATGAGATTCTGTTTGAACCTTGGGACTCGGATGGGTGAGGTGGGAGAGGCTTTCCGATCCGGAGATCATGGTGAACCCGGAGGGGCTGCCACAGTGAGGGAAGGGGTGACTTTTCTCCGGCCCCTCGGAGCTGCCGCAGTGCATTCTTCGGTAGAGGGGCTTTTTGTGGGGTCTTGCAGTCACAGGCCAAGAGCTGGTCAGTAAACATATAGGGTCTTGTGCCAGCTTCCCCTCCCAGCCTAAACTGCGTTTTCCAGAAGCGTGCCCTGGGTCCGATTCACTAGCTTCCGGGAAGAAGAGGTGGCAGTTTACAAATCCTGAGCAATTTGGTGCCCATGTCACCCATCTCTGCCCACGAGAGGGAGGCATCAGACCCTGGAGGTCCCCCGTGCCACAGGTCCACTCGTGAGGGAGGAGACGTTGGCACACATTCAGGGGCACTCTCCATGCTGAGCGGGAGAGAGGCAGCTCCCGTAGGCAAGGGTCGGCAGACGGTTCAAAGTGGGGCGTGCTGTTTGGGCCGGGTCTTAGAAGAAGCAGTGAGCTCCCCGTCTCGGGAGAGAGCCAAGTGCAGGCAGGAGGGCCAGTCCTCGGCAGTGTGACCACGGCACCCGGAACCCCTGGCAGCCCAGCACTCGCCCGTTCTAATCGGAGACCTGCATCACCGTGGGCCGGGCTGCGGGGGCTGAGGGTAATAAAAGCCTCAAACGAGACCCAGTTTTCAAAAAAAACTCATTAAAGACAAAAAGCGCATCTGTCTCCAAGCATCCAGATAGATGCCTCAGGAACAAGGTTAGGATTTTTTTTTTCTTAATTTTTCACGCATGTGTGATGCTGTGTCTGAAAGCCGCGCTTCCTTAATCTCCCCGGCAGCCGGCAGAGCCTTGACGGATAAAGCAGCTGTCTTATTGCCGGACAGATGCTCTGGGGATGGCGTTAGCCCAGCAGATCTGCCTCTGAGTAACGGCATTGCTTCCTAATTTGCTCCCATATTGGTTGAAAATGACTAAAGCATTTTGCACAAAGTCTAGATGGTTTTGGAGCCAACTGGCATTTAAGCGATAACTCTTCCTCTTTGACCCCAAACGTGGGCCGCCCCTGGGTCCATTCTCTTGGTGGCTTGTGGCCCTCTGTGACCCTCGGGGCCTTGCACGAAGCCGTCGTTCTTGGAGAAGAAGCCCGGGGGTTGTGGGGACCGTGATTCCACATGTATCGTCCCGCACGCCTTCCTGCCTGGCAGACAGGACGCCCCACCGGGCAACTGGTGGGCAAGAGGCCTGACGCCCGACAGCCCCCTGGGACGCAGGAGGTCGCCCTTCCTGGCGCCCTTGGCGATGGGTCCCCACATCCCCAGTTTCCCCTTGTCCAGCGCTGTCTTGCTGGCTTGGGGGTTCATACACTGATGGGGTTCCGCCCTTTCCCCAGTAAGTGGGAGCACCTGCTGTGGACCCTGCCAGGGAGAACGCAGGGAGCCACAGTCTGGACGCAGCCCAAGCAGAGGGGGCGGGGAAGGTTCTGTTGCCACCCGCTTCCCTGACTTGCGGGGTGGCCACAGCCCAGGCTCGGTGGCACCTGTCCCCAAATGCCCCGCGCAGAGTGTGCCTCCCCATGCTTTGTCCTCACCAGACTCTTCTTTCCCAGCAGGGATGGCCCTGTCCCCTTTAAGGAGTACCTGTGGGTTTGGGGGAGGAACAGGACGTTGCCCGGTCTTCACTCTCCTCCCCTCGTTCTTTCGGGTCGAGGTCCCGGGCCGCTGCCGAGTCAACAAGACTCTGAGCCTGAGCGGCGAGGCCCCGCGGGGGGAGCACAGCCCGTCCCCCAGAGCCGCTAACGGGTGCGCTCTCTCTCTCTGCCCCCGCCCCCTGCAGGTCTGGTACATGGACGGTTACCACAACAACCGCTTTGTCCGCGAGTACAAGTCCATGACCGACTTCATGACCACGGACAATTTCACGTCCCACCGCCTCCCGCACCCCTGGTCCGGCACGGGGCAGGTGGTCTACAACGGCTCCATCTACTTCAACAAGTTCCAGAGCCACATCGTCATCCGGTTCGACCTGAAGACGGAGACGATCCTGAAGACGCGGAGTCTGGACTATGCCGGTTACAACAACATGTACCACTACGCCTGGGGCGGGCACTCAGACATCGACCTCATGGTGGACGAGAACGGGCTGTGGGCCGTCTACGCCACCAACCAGAACGCGGGCAACATCGTGATCAGCAAGCTGGACCCCGTGTCCCTGCAGGTGCTGCAGACGTGGAACACGAGCTACCCCAAGCGCAGCGCGGGCGAGGCCTTCATCATCTGCGGGACCCTCTACGTCACCAACGGCTACTCTGGGGGCACCAAGGTCCACTACGCCTACCAGACCAACGCCTCGACCTACGAGTACATCGACATCCCCTTCCAGAACAAGTACTCCCACATCTCCATGCTGGACTACAACCCCAAGGACCGCGCCCTGTACGCTTGGAACAACGGCCACCAGATTCTCTACAACGTCACCCTCTTTCACGTGATCCGGTCCGACGAGTTGTAGTTATCTCCGCCCGGAAAGCCCGGGGGGCCGCGGCTTCCCCCACACGGACCTTCCTGGGGGACAGCTGCCGACATAACCTAACGACAGTAATAATACTAATTTTGAAACGTCAGCAGCAGCGTGGGCCCCGGCATCTCGCGGTGGCGTCGCCCCCCCGTGCCTCTGGTCGGAGCGAGAGGGCGACACGCTTGGGGAGAGAAGATGCCCCCGCCCCCACCCCCACCCCCGTCTTTGCAGCTGGAACTGCAGTCCAGGGATCCGCGGTCCTGGTCCCCGCCCCCGCCCCGTCGTCCCAGCCCCTCCCGCCTGGACCCCTTTCTGGTCAAATTACCTACAGAAGTAAGGCAACGACTGTTGGCCAGTTCTCGCCCTGAGGACAACCACTGTTAGGTCGCATGGACACTCCCCCTAGATCGCGCTGGGCTCCGGTGGGTGTGCCTGCCGCGTCTCATCAAGGGCCCGCAGGGGCCGCGCTGGCTGACTGTAACTCATCCCATCGCAGCTGCCGTCTCTCGACCGCCTGTCGTGTCTCAGCCGAGCTGCCCCGAGGCTCCGCACCCCCACGGACCCGTGCGCACCGCCTGCCGGCGGCGGCCCCGTGCGTGGCGTGGACAGCCGCAGCGCCCACTTGTCCGAGCCCGCGTCCCCCGTAGATATATCGTGCCGCGTCTGTCTGTCGTCTCCTTGAGGTGGTAGCTCTGTGTGTTCAGTTCATGCAATGAGGGTCGTAGATGCCGTGCTGTCGTTCGGGTTTAATTAAGTGGAGGTTTTTGTTCCTAAAAAGAAAAAAAAAAATTCAATGTTCACCCTTAGAAAGAGGTAATCAAGTTCATGTTGATCCTAGAGGAATTACTCTCTTCTTGTTAAATTATCTAAGTAACGTAACCGCGGATAGGAAGGGCTTATCGAGGGAAACTCTGTTTCCGCTGGGAAAGGAATGATCCCGAGGACAACAGTGCGTGGGGAGTACAGTTCGAAGTCAAAATGAGGAGAACTTTGTACCGTCCAGTTATCGAAGGAACAATAAAGATATTAGGAGATGTCTTTGGTTCAATCGTCATTTCTGAGGTTTTAAAGATGAGGGGGCCTTGCAGAGCCCTTGGGTGTGCCCTGTGGGTGTGTCCTGGAGGGATTGCCCCCGGTCCCCAACCCCATCCCCCGGAAGCCGGAGGACCAGCCTGGGGCTCCGCCACCCCTTGGGGTGGGTCCGAACCGAGGCCGCAGCCCTGGAACCCCACCACACTCTGCTCTGGGCGTCTCCTCCAAGAGCTCCTGGATGGGGCCGGGCACAGGCGCCCTCCGGAGACAGGGCGGGGCCACCTGTGGAGAAGACGCCCATGGGTCCACGGAGGTAAAGCAGGCCCTCCCTGGCGGGCTGGCTCAGTGTGGCTTTGCTGGGTCCCAGAGGTCAGTGGCCGGCCTTCTCTGGAACCTAACCCGGGTCCCCAGGCCTGGGTCACAGAGAATCTCACTCATCCACAGGACCTGGGCCAACTCACAGGCTATGACCTTCGATGAGGAAGTGGGTCCTGCCCCAAACCCTCCCCTCCCCCAATCCTTTCCTGCTTTCTTGTCACTGGGCCTGGGCCTGTTAGTGTGTTTCTGCCAGGAGCTCAGGGATACCCCCACCCGTGTTGTCAGGAGAGGAGGGGCAGGCAAGGGGAGGCCTGGGCTTTCATTAGAGCCTCATTCACCGGACGTCCCCCGTGAGCAAGACGGCTCTCCCTCCTCAGCCGGCGGAGCTTGCAAGTAAAGATTGTAGAAGGGGGAGACGGGTTCCCACTTCTGCATCCTTACAGATTTTCTTGGAGTGAGGCACCCAAAGTCGTCCCCCTGAGAGATGGGAGCTGGCTATTGAGCCCCGAGTTTCAGTAAAGCCACAATTCAGTCCATGAGGCCCCTGGCTGCTCCCGGGGTGACGGGGACCCGGCCAAGCGCACCAGGCCGGGGCTGCCCGGTGGTCGCAGCCGCTGAGACGTGCCGACCGCCTCCTCGTCCTCCTGAATGACACAGGGAAGAGCAAAAGTACAGAGAGACACCTGTTCCGAGTTCCAGAAAGGAAGCAATGGCCCTAGAGCTCTAGAATGGATTTGCTGTCTCGGACTGAGAATTTGCTAGGGAAAATATGCCTCCAGGATATTAAATACACAAGAGAAATGGTCCGTCCGGAGAGGAAATAAAACAAGCGACCAGCCACTAAATCTCCCAGATCCCAATAACTGAATATATCGGCTGATGGCACAACATCTGTGGATGAATTTTCTTTATTAAAAGTCTGGCCTGGAATCAAACCCATGGTTCTTTGGGGAGGGGGGACTCGAAGGGCAGGGTATGAGGCACTCAGTTCCGAGCACGGCCGGGCCTGGGGCCTGCCCCATTCCTGAAAGCGCCATCTGGAAGGAAGTCTGAGACGGTTGACCCCGTGTGCAGGTGCCCGCGGACCATGCTGTGGCTCCTTCAGACCCCCGGTGCCCGCACAGCACTCACACAATGCCCCGTGAGGAGCCCTTCTCCCTGCCCACGCCCTCGCGGGGCCGGCTGGAGGGAGGCAGCTGCTGTGGGCGCGGCGGGCCGCTCGGGCTCCTGGGAAGCGCGGGGTCGTGGGCCGGCGCCGGCTGCCTCTATGAGCCTGGCCTGAGATGGGAGACAGTGGTGGCTGCTGGGCCCTGAGCGCAGAGACAGGCGGGGATCATTGTTTTATTGGAACCTTTAACTGAATTCCATCTGGTGGTTACAAGCGGTCTTTTGAGCAAAGACCATGTTAGGTGCCGACGGAGCGTCTGTCTGGCCCCCATGTGCCCCTCTGACTTCACAGCACCCCGTAGAAGAGGCACCAGTCCCTGTGCCCAGATCAGGGAACTCGGGCTCCAGAGGCCCAGCCATCTCCCAGGCAGCTGAGTGAGCTTCCAACCCGTGACACAGCGTCCACACCTACATGACGGCCCGGGCCGACATGGAGAAGCGTCCAAAAGCTCCGGGCCCTTGCAGGCCACTGGAGGCGGTGAGTGGACATGTGGGCGGGACTGAGCCGAGTCCTCGGTGAGCGGTTCCTTGGTGCTCATGGGGAAATGAGCCCCCCGGGGGCAGTTACCTTGAGGCTGGAGCGGGATGTGGGTCGTCTCCTTGCCCAGCCACGTGTGTGGGCATGGCCCAGAGAGATGTGGCACCTCCCACGGAGGTGTAACCAGGAGCAAGTGGCCGTGGAACATTCCATGCCACAAGGAGCGAGGCTGGATTCCCGGGCATGCCGGAGGGGCCGCCTGGGGCCTGAGGAACCTGGGAGCTGGACAGTCTGTCTGATACTGAGCAGAACCTTCTCTCCGTGAAGCGGTCACAGCAGACCTGCTCACCGTCAGATAAGATGTCCTGTCCTTGGTGGCCCCGCCCTACAGTACTGAGGAGACTATCTTGAGAGAACTCTCTGTTTCGGTTTCCTGAGTAAATAGTTTCCGAAGGGGTCTCTTGTAGCAAGATTTTACTTTAAGAAATCCATTGTTAGACATTGTTTTCACAGGCTATGCGAGTGACATATGGAGGAGTCCTTTGAAGCCAATAGCCAGGAGAGGCATTGGCTGGTGGCTGCACCCCACTCTTCTTAGAAAAAAGGCACCCCATGTGTATATGACCCCGCACCTTGCCGTCCTCGTGTAGCGGCTCTTCCTGAAGGTGACACTGGGGGCACAAACCACGCGTCCTCTGGCTGCTGAGGGTCCCGTGGCTCATTCATCACACGGCGGGCGGCGGAAGGTGCCAGAGCGGTGTGCCTGGCGAGGACCTGGGCCGGGCCTCCAGCCCTGGGTGCCGCTGAGTCACTGTTGCTGGACGCGGAGCAGGGCGGCAGAAGGAGGGGAGCCCAGAGGCCCAGAGGCTGGTGTCTGTTTCTGCTCTACCCCTGCTGGGGGGGGCTGGGGGGGGCAGGGAGGGGGGCGGGCAGGACCTTCCTCTGTGCACATGTACATGCATGCACACACGCGCACATTCACACAAGCACACATACACATGCATGCGTGCACACACATGCATACACACTTGCACACACGCACACGTGAACACACGCACTCATACAAACACACATACACACGTGCACACATGCACACGCGTTCACACATGCTCACACATGCTCACTCCCAGCTCAGAGCAGTGGCAGGTCCCTCCCCAGCCCCTCCCCCGCCCTTCCCAGGACCAGTGTTCCCCACGGCAAAGTGGGAGTTGGCCCAGCCCACTTCGAGGGGAGACTTCCGCCCAAAAGACTTCCTCCCCCGCCCCCGCCTGGCCTTCCAAGCCCCCCAGAAGGGACGCGCCCTGCGCCATCACGGTGAGGGAGGGGCTCCACTCTGCCTCTACTCGGAACAGGGTCTCCGCTTCCTCGCCTGACACGGGCCTCGTGGGAGGGGTGCTGGGGAGTGTCCCCTCTGATGCTGGCCGACGGTCCCTCTTCTCAGGAGGCAGCCGTGGCTCTGTGGCCTCCCCGCCCAGCCGCCCAGCCGGGGTTGGGGGCAGCCCTGGGAGTCAGAGACGTCAGGCTCTAACCCTGGCTTTCTGGGGAGGCTGCTCTGTAGTTAGGTCCCAAGTGACCTTCAGGCTGGGAGCCCTTGACCCTCCCCCGGGGCCCCTCCCCCATCTCCAAAGGCGGTCCTCACTCCAAAGGTAAAAGCAGCGAGGCCCAGAGAGACTAGTTAATGCCTGAACCTGTCAGCACCGCTCCCCAGCAGCCAAGCCGAGACGGGCTCCCACCAAACGCGGAGCTCTGTTTGCAGAAGTGGGTGCCGTGCCGCTGTCCCCTGACCGGCTGGACTTGTGGGGTTGCGGACGCCCCAACCCCATGCCATGTTCTTGCTTCCAGAGCCAGGCCTGGCGGGGATCTGTGGCCTCACAGGAGGCTCCAGCAGCTGACTCTGAAAAAACAGTAATTTCCTTATTGATCTTCTTCCCTCGACAGGCCCGAAAATCAGGTCGCCAGGAGTAATGTTCTTCCTGCTCCTGCTTCATTGTTTCATTTTGCTTATCGAATTCCCTGTCATCCCGGGGGACGTCCCCTCTCCCCTCTCCCTCCCTCCAGCCGCTGCTGCTGCTGCTGCGAGGACCTTGCTGGCCAGTCGGTGCTCACCCCTCTGCGGC